TACCTCAAGAAAAAAAATACCACTATTGTGCAATCTATAACAATAGTAGTAATGACAACAAAATCACTACAACAAAAATCCACATATTTTGTTTTATGGTTTGCAATACTGCCAAGACATTTATTTTTATCTTTACAACATTGGCAGATATGTACTATTTCCCTGTTTTATAGGAAAGGAAACTGAACTTTGGAGTGGCGATTATTTCTAAATTCACAAAAAGATTAAATGGTAGTGCTGTGACTCAAAACCACGGCCTTCAAATATTCTTTTAACCAGTATGAATCAGCAAGCTTGTCTCATCCACACACACAGGTTTCTCTTTTTCACATACATCTCCATTTTTGCTAATTTTCTACACTGAGAAGAACTAAACCTTCTGCGTTTCCCTTTTGGTCAAAAGTTCCTTAACAAACAAAACCTACGTTTATTAGCTAATCACTCTCCTGAGCAACCATTAATCTTCCAGAATGCATACAAAGCTGCTTTGTATCAGAACCCAAACCCAGAGTTACTACTTATTGATATCGCCCATCTTCAAAAAGACATTTATAGAACACATAACATGTTGTTGATCCTAAAATAGAGTATGCCTTCTCTGCATATTTTATTCTAAAATAAAAGATGGCTGAAAATGTCAGGAAGATAAATCATAATTATTACTATAAATTTACGTAATAATTTTACATTTGTAGAGATTAACATTTATATTAACATAAATTTCAAACATAAAAAAGAGAAAGCAGAAAATACTAGAAGAAAACATAGGATGACTTTATTTTTTTTCTTAAAACAATGAAGGCTTTTTTAAGAAGACTTTTTAAACAGACAAAAGCCATTTTTTAAAAAGACTGGTTAGGGGTGCCTGAGTGGCTCAGTCATTAAGTGTCTGCCTTTGGCTCAGGTCATGATCCCAGGGTCCTGGGATCGAGCCCCACATCGGGCTCCCTGCTTGGTGGGAAGCCTGCTTCTCCCACAAATAATTTTTGGTGATAATGTCACAAGACAAAAGGCATACTGGGAAAAGTTATTACCAAAAACTAAATAGATAGTGACAAATGATGGAAGCAGGTTTGGATTCTCCTGAGGCTTCTGTCCTCACATGGCCTTTTCTGTGTGTGTGTGCGTGCGCGTGTGCTTCCTTTGGTCTCTTCCTCCTTTTTTTTTTTTTTTTTAAATGTAGGCTCCATGCCCAGCGTGGAGCCCAACACGGGGCTTGAACTCATGACCCTGATATCAAGACCTGAGCTGAGTTCAAGAGTCGGATACTTAACCAACTGAGATACCCAGGTGCCCCTCTTCTTCTTATAAGGGTACATATTGGATTAGGTCCAAGAGTAGTCATATTAGATCCTGTGCCTACCCATATGACCTCATTTAACCTTAATTACCTCTTTACAGGCTTATCTCCAAATACAGTTACAATCTAAGCTACTGAGGGTTAGAGCTTCAATGTATGCATTGGGTGGGTGCGGGGGATACAATTCAGTCTATTACACCTTTGATCTGGCAATGGCATCCTTTTCCCTCCCTATCAACTTATTTCTGGTGCCAAGTGACCATAGGGTATCAGCATTTGGTCTCTGATTCTTGACCTTTATGTCAGGATGCCCAGAGAGTCGATTTAGTCACAGGGCTAGTTGAGTCACACAGCAAAAAGTCTGTAGACCTTTTAAGCCATTTCTGACTGGTGGCTATAAGCAATAACTTGGCCCTATACCTATATCAAAGGGACTGTAAAACACAAAACTATATTATAATAAATCCCTATGAAATGTATCCTTAACTCCACTTCCTCTTAGCAGGATCCCCAAAAACGTTCACAGCATGCCATCTGACATGTGGGAAAGTGAGATGCAAGAGCAGTTGGAGTAGAAATAAATGGTCATATTAAATAATTCCAGTTAAAATGTTTACTTTAGCAAATTTTACAAAGACATATGTTAAATGAACATACTACTAGTTCCTGTCCCAGAGCCTTAGAATGTGCATCTGTACCAGTCAGGGATCCAACTTCCCCTCCTAATGAGATGGGCCTCTTTCTGTGTTGAATGGGGTACCTGCATTTGAAGTGAGTACATGGTGTATTAAGTTGGGGAGCATCTGCTTTTGTTTTAAAGAATAAGTATGAAGAAAGGTTGCCTGTCATAGTGGGGAGGACTGGAGTGGATATTCTTGCCATATTTTGAAAACCCTTTGATATTTGGGGAGATTTTCACATTACGAATCCTGCCTTTTCCCTTCGAGGTCAGAACTCAATCACTCAGCCTCTCTTGAGGCTAGCAGTCAGGCATGCTCTCTAGCCTTGGACGCTCCCAGCGGGGTGGGGTGGGGTGGGGGGGTTTGGGGTGGGGGACGGCCTTGCCTGAGGCTCCAAGAAGAGACTCAAAAATCTAGCACCTGGCTGCTGCTCTTTGGCCTTTCCCCGTATCATCTCACTGTTTCTGTCTCTCTATGTGGTTTGGGTTTCTCATGGCATGTTGATCTCAAGGTAGTCCTACTTCTTTCCTGGCAGCTGTCTTGTAAGAACAAGGAGGAAGGAAGTGGATGCTCTTGTGGTTTGGTTCAGGAAACTCACAATGTTACTGTTGCAATATTCGATAGGTCAGAGAGGTAGGTCACAGAGATCACCCAGCTCGAAGAGAGGAGCCACAGGGCCCTCTTTCCCCTTCATGATAAGGACAGTGTCAATGTATTTGTGGCCATATTTAACTCGTCATGCAAGGAGAGGTCAATTTGGACTAGAAAGGTCAGAAAAAGCCATACAAGGAAGGTATCATATAAGCTGGTTTTAAAGAATACAGAACATTTGAAACAATCAAGTGAAGTTGGGATAAGGACAAAAATACTAAATATCTAAAAATAAAACAGTTAATGGGGAGAACACGTTCAAAATGCTTAGCAAACCAAGAATTATGGTTCTTTCTCAATTTATTTTGCTGCAACAACAAAAGCGACAGTGGGAATTAGCCTCAGCTTGGGCAAGTCACTTTTCCCTAATTCATGAACACGTTGATTCAACTGAGATGATTTTTCTTTAAATGAGGTCAACTTACTTGAAGTAAAGTGAATCTGAGCTTATAGGACCAACTGGGGAAGGTCAGTCAGTGTTCAGCTTGTTTGGAGAAGTGCTCATTGTTAAAACTCAGAAGGTACAGACAAATGATTGTAGTTAATCCTGACACAGGATGAAGGGCAGCAAGACAGGGGTATGATTTAGCAACCATTGATCAGAGAATATGGGTTTAGCAAGTCTGGTTATGGTCCTAAGAGAGTCATGATGTAAAATGTTAATCTTACAGGGTCTCTTATAAGGCTTTGTTCAGAAAGGGTTAATCATCATAACCATAATTTTCTCACTGAGAAGAGGCTTTCCTGAGATTTGTAGTTCATAGATAAACAGTTTTCTAGATGAGTGTGTGTGTCCATGTACATACTTCTTGCAGTACATGCAACCTGTTCTGAACCCAGTGCCTGACACTTGGCGGATACTTAGTATTAATTAGATATTACTATGCTTAATGAATTGTATTACTCATATTCTCTTAACACCAATTTAAAAATCTACATCCCTCTGAAATTTCCCCTATATAATATTAAACCGGAAACAGGCATATTTTAGTAATGGCTACCAATTAAAAATTAACCATTCCTTTGTGAAGTGAGCATAGCTCTTGTTTAGCACTTCGGTTTTCAAAATTTGTGTCTGACATTTTCTTTCAATTTTATTTTCTTTTTAAGATTTTATTTATTTGAAAAGAGAGTGAGTGAGAGAGAGCACAAGCGGGGCATGGTGGGGAGGGGGCGAGGGGAGGTAACAGAGGAAGAGGGAGAAGCAGACTCCGCTGCTAAGCAGAGAGCCCTACGCAGGGCTGGATCCAAGGACCGCTGGATCCAAGGACCGCGGGATCATGACCTGAGCAGAAAGCAGCTGCTTAACCAAAATGAGCCACTCAGGCTTTTTTTTTTTTTTTTTTTTGACACTGATATGTAATGAATTTATGAATATCAAACCTGGCATTCTAGAAACAAAGGAAGAGAGTACAAGACTTAGGAGAAATGCTTTAAAAAAATCTTTTAATGTGTTATAACACCCTGGAGAATCATCAGATCTTACTGCTCTTTTATGTTAGAACATAGATTTCTCCTCCCCTCTCCGATAGCTTTTAGTTTTATTTGGTCGGGAGCACTGAAAATTCCAAGCTACAGCCTTGCGTGGTAGGAGACAGCATTATTTTAAACAGTGTTCGAGTTTGAAGGTCAACAGGCTTGTGCCGTTTACACAGTTATCTACTTTGGGTAGTTTTTGTTTCTTGACCTCTAGGTGGCTCCTTAAAAGCTGTGAGGCTAAGCAAACAATAGGAAAAGAAAACAGACACTGTGGGGCCTTGGGACTCCGAAGCCTTAATCTAGAGAGAACCGGTTAAGCCTTCAGAGACTGGAGGGGAAGGTGTGTGCGTTTGGTACGGAGAGCGGAGAAAGAGCCGTCCAGGATTCAGGGCAGCCGGATAGCGCCTTCCACCTGCGCAAGCATAAATCTCCTTAGTAACCCCGGGATGTCCCGGGGCGGGGGGGGGGGGGGGGGGGGGGGGCGGAAAAGTGTTTTCCATCCTCTCATCTGTCCCATCAGAGTGAATAAGTGAACCCTGCTTCAGACGAACTGCAAAGGATAGTCTGCAGACATACATATGTATGCACCCACGTTAGGAGTTTCAAGCTCTCCTGCAGGAGACGAGCTGGACATCACCTGCCGCGTCCTTAGCAAGCTCCCGCCCAGACCTGCTAGAGCCGGGAGGGCGGAGGCAGGAGACGATGCGGCGCGGAGGTGGCTACTGCGCATCCGGGCGCGGCCGCTGCGGTCAGCGTGCTGCATAATTGATGGAGGACTGGGTGCAGTCCTGGGTCGGCTTCGGCGCCGTGAGAGCGTCTCAGGGGAGGAGGGCAGGGCGGCCGGGCCCCTCCCACTCTGCCTTTTGTCGCGTGTCCCGCCCCCCGGGACAGGCAGCAGGCGCCGGGCCACCCGCGAGTGTGCGCAGAAACTTCGGCCACCTACGGCGGTGCGCGAGGAGCGCGGCTGACCCGCCGGCGCCATGCGCGCCCTGCCTGGCCTGCGGGGGCTCCGGGGGCCGCCGCCGCTGCAGCTGCCGCTGCTCCTCCTATGCCTCCTCGCGGCCGTACGCCGGGGCTGGGCGGACGGCAATACCACAGGTGCGAAGGCTACAGGGCCGAGTTGGGGGGACGCGCGAGGCTGGGTCCCGGTAGGCTGAGGGCTTGGCCGACGCGCCGGGGCAGGGTTGGTGTGCAGAGGCGCGGGGAGGCTGGCGACGGCGGGTGGCCAGCGGCGGCCGCCTCCTCCCATTGGCCAGGCTTGGGTTGTCTCAGCTGGACGAGGAGACTGGAGCGGATGGGGCTTCTCCGCTCCAGGGATGGAATCTGGAACCAAGAGCGCCCCGCGAGTCGGGGGCGTTGGTAGTAGGGCAGTCTGGGTGTGCCGAGGGCGAGGGCGGCAGGGTGTGAGGGTGCCGGCGGGAGCAAGGTAGCGACTGGGTTTCCGCAAAAGCGGCAGGATTTCGGAGAGCCACATTCTCCAAGGCCAGCTGCCTTCGCTTGAATTGGTAGTAGGTTTAAATATCACCTCCCTGCCTGGCAGGTGGGTTGGCTTTGCTTTGAGGATGTTTTTTACAACTGAGTTGAAATAACAGCAAACCACAACCAACTAACGAACCGAGGCCCACAACTCATTGGATATTGGGTGTGCGTGTGTGTCTTTTTTTTTTACATACACCATGGTCTTTGAAAGCGAATTTTTTGTGGTTATTGTTTTGATTGTTTAAGAAACTTTGAAAGAGGGATCTATGTGCGAAACATTACCAAAACCAACACCAAATTTGCCATTTTAGCTTCACCTGTTTATAATTACCTTTTATGTTGAAAGTATCTCAATCCAACCTACTTTCTAATTCAGGTTTTTGTGTTAACAAAATTAGGACAGTGGACTGCCAATCAGGTTAGCAAATAGTGCCTATCAGCAACTAAAATTAAGATATTCTACACAAGATCTTCAAACTTTCATAGGAATTCACTTTTATGAACTTATAGCATGTAGAGTTTTTGTAACATAAAGATGGTAAGATAATCCAAAGGATAGGATTATTCCATTTTTACAACTGTCCTTTAAAAGGCCTAGTTGTTAACATCTTGGACAAAACATTTTGGGTTACTTCAGTTTCTAAATTTCCTTGTCCCACTTCCTAGCCACATACCTCTTTTTCATTCAAACTACTTACAAAGAATGGTCAAGGACTTGGGGCTATTTCTAGATTCACTCCTTTTTCACTTAAGACTGTTGCAGCTCTGAGGACCATGGCATTCTGGGTGAGTTCTAGAACTGGGTTTCTCCAGTTGGTTCTATGTTGGAATTATCTGGGAGCTTTAACAGCTGGATCCTGCCCTCAAAATTTTTGATTCAGTTGGCCAGGGATTTAGCCTGAACATCAGGTATTTTGAAAGCGCCCGTGTGATTTTTAGTCACGTGATCCTAAGCGGGTTGAATACCACTGCTTTCAAATTATAATGGCCCAGAGAGTGCACATTGTGTGAATATCTATACTGTTGGTAGCTGGGAGTCAGGTTTAAACTGACATTCACAGCAGACGTCTAAAGAAAAAAGTAGGGAAGAAATGAAAGTGGAATAAATTAGCAAAGTTGTAAATAAATGGGATGACGTATGTAGGTATGGCAAGTGTCTGTGTGTGTATACAGTGTCAGTCGGGCCTTTTAGCTACACTTAAGTTAAAATTGTAGGGGTGCCTGGGTGGCTCAGTCGTTAAGCATCTGCCTTCGGCTCAGGTCATGATCCCAGGGTCCTGGGATCAAGCCCCACATCGGGCTCCCTGCTCCGCGGGGGGCCTGCTTCTCCCTCTCCCACTCCCCTGCTTGTGTTCCCTCTCTCCCTGTGTCTCTCTCTGTCAAATAAATAAAATCTTAAAAAAAAAAAATTGTAGAATGATGTGCTGTATGAAAGTTATGAAGTTAGCATCTCATTTTAAGGCAGAATTAAAAATTGTGAAGCAAACTTATTTTATAGACTCTGTATGGAGCTCTGTGAGATTCAGTTTCCTCTTTGCTAAAGGCTATTATGAAGTTTACTGGGTATTTTTTATCTAGGTGCTTTGAACTACTTGCAAGTAGGTGTTCTATAAGCCTAAGACTTTGGGCCAAATTTTAATAATAAAAATGTTATAATTATATATATAATTATATATTATATATACTGTATAACAACTATGTGCCAGGCATTGCACTGTGCGGTATATAACCCTATGGGTTAGCTTTTATTGTCCCTGACTTTCAGATGAGGACATTGGAATTTAGAGATATTAAATAATGGCCCAATTATATATAATTACTTAAGTAGTAGAGCTAGAAACTTAGCATTGTTCAGTCTGACTTCAATGCTTGTTTTCTTTATTTTTTTATATTTTTAAGTAAGCTCTGAGCCCAACATGGGGCTTGAACTCATGACCCTGAGATCAAGGGTTGTTTGCTCTATGGACTGAGACAGCCAGGCGCCCCCTCCAATGCCTGTTTCCTTAAACACAATACACAGTTGTCTCTCTGAGACAACTGGGTATGTCTTTGAAAGTTTGGAACCACTGACAGAGCACGCTGTATGGATCTAAATGCTTGGTTGGAGCTGAAGGGCATACTAACACACTTGGAGTTCTCAAAGTTAGGCACAGGGACTCACCTTAATTCTTTTAAGCTGTTTCAATTACATAAGAAAGGTAAAGTAACTTTATAAAAGCAAATATTAGATAAATGGGAATATTTAAACATCATTATTATTACTCTTAAGTAGAACAAATTGAGGGAAGGGGTCATGTTTATCTTCTGAAAAATGTGTTTGCAGGGGAATCATTTGAAATGATCGTTGTAAGCTTCTGGAGGACATTGCTTATATACACTCTTGATCAACCACCTTCCTTTCTAGAGACACTCCCCATCCCACATACATACACAGCCACTGCCTAGCAATAAATATTTGTGAGAACAAATATTATTCAAGCACCCACACACTCTTAACATTGTGTTAGTCTGTGTCTAAGCAGAAAACTTCAGCAGTGTTTTAGCAGTTTCAAGTCATTTACATTGTTTAAAGGAACAGATTATAACCTTATCTTTAATGGAGTTATATCTGATGCATCAAAATTGTGACTCTAAATTATCACATTTAAAATAATATACACATTTGTTAAGAATTAGTTCAACTGGCTCTTCCTGTTCTTTTGTCCCCACCTCTTGTCTCCATCTCCTTCTCTTCCTTCTGGGAATGGGTCTTATAGTCATTAGGTTGGGGAGTGCAGGGAGGCAACCTCCTTTGTTGGAGGAAGCCAGAGGGTCCCAGATCAGGGAATTAGAGGCTGAGCCACGTCCGAAGGGCATCCAGGTAGGGGCATGGCCCCATGTGGAGTCTTAGAGCCTGAGCACAGTGAGGTGGGTCCTCCTGCAGAGGGTGGGGGGCCCTAGATCTCAACCTCTGAGCTGAGCAGAGTGACAGGGGCTTCTACACAGGGGCAGCCCGATCCTGATCAGAGGGTGTGGGTTAAGCATGCAGAAGAGCAAGCAGTGGAGGATGTCAGAGCCTGAGTGGGTATGGAAGACATTTCTTTGAGGTCAAGAGTGGCAGTGACAGTGGATATTAGTTGCATACAGGGAGACTGAGCAAATAAGTAAAGCTAGTAAGGATAATAGGATCCAGGTTTTTCTCTAGAGAAGAAGGAAATAAAGGAAAAACTAGAGTGAAGCTTGTGGTGTTGGATTGCGATTGACAGCACTGGCATAAATTCATGACTACAGATCTGTCATCTGTCTTTCATGTCTCTATATAAACAGATATAAATGTATATATGTGTAAATATATGTATAATGCATACATGTCACATATATTTACATATATGTGTGTGTATGGATATACATGCACATATTAGCTCTGTCCACTGAGGTGGAGCAGTGATTTCCCAATAGTGACGAGTCAGATCTTGATCTTGATCTACGTACCATTCTTTACTAATGGTAACTGGGACTTCCTGGAGAAATGGCTGATTTTATGAATAGGGAGGAGAAAGTATAAGACAAGCCCTGAACCTCTTGTGCCAGAGAGCAATGAAGTGCTCAAAGAATGATGGGCCATGTCAAAAGGATACAAAAGCCAGAGGGCTCCCACTGAACAAATCTAGGACAAATTGAGCATCAACATAAATAATAATACTAATGGACTTGTATCCATTAGTATCCACTGAATAATGCCCATTGAATAATACAGGTATTCATAAGTACATGCCGATATAAATTAATTAAATGAATCAATTGAAAGTTTGATGAGGCACAAAATACTACATAGTTTTAAAGTAAGTTCCCACAAATCTCATAAAGTAGTGTTCATGAAAAGAGAAAAAGAACGACTTTATCATGGAGAAGCCTGGCAGATACCTCTTTAAACAAATGATCAAAGTAAAAACCATCAGCAAAGAGAGGAATAAAAATTATGGGCCATCTAATAGTATGCAATGAGAAGAACACAATATCACCTCTGTGATATATTTGCCAAAGGTCTACTCCAAATCAAATTATATTACAAAATAATCATACGGGATCTCTACTGGTCATAAGAGTCAAGAATGACTAAAGCTGAGACAGAGTGAAGGAGAATAGAAGGGACATGGTAGCTGAGGGCAACATGTAATTCTGGACTGCAACCTTGGGCTGAAAAGTACATCTTCAGGACTTTTGTTGAAACTTCGATGAGGTGTGGGATGAGATGGTAATGCATAAATGTCAATTTCCCAACTTCAATGGCCATATTGAGATGAAGTGGAGGGGGGGTAGGTCTTTCTGGGAATGTACAGTCATGTTTTAGACGGGAATGAGTCATCAGGTCAGCAGCTTATTCTCAGATGGTTCAGGGGAAGAATTCTTTATTCTGTACTCAAAACTCTTTTGTTTGAGATCTTTTGAAAAGAAGCAAAAAGAATTTCAACTCTTTCTGAGAAAGCTTTACTTAACCTAGACATTAAGCCATAATGAGAGTTGAGAAACTGTCATCAGTTTTATGTAATTAAGTACCATTTTCCAAAGGAGTATTTGTCCTCAAACAGATTATAAGTGTGAAGGCTATTTGTCCTGGATTGTACTCTTTTGAAATTACT